CAGAAAAGCATCGTGTTCCACGTTTTCTTAGAAAAAATGATAAAGCGTGGGCGTGCATTTCCTTTACACTTGCGTAGCAACAACCTAGCAACGGAAAATGATCGTTATAGAGCTGGAGAAAGAATTGCCTGGTTACTGTCGCCTAATCTAACATGCAATCTAATAGAATTCTCAAAATTCTAGATTAAAAATTTAAAATCGCCCATAACTCAATGGTTAAGTATTTTCAAGGCTGGTGGACTCCACTGGCAGCTTCAACGTGCTTTTGATATGTGTCGCGACATTTTGAAAAAAATTCAAAGGATTTCTTAAATTTTTTTGAAATTCCTCATTTTTCTAACGTTTCTGCCTGTAGAGGACGTAACAAGATTCTGATCAGAAGTGGCAAGGTACGAATCTTTTTATTTCTTTTTGAATGAGAAGCTGTATATCGATTTTTTTCTGAAGAATCTGGTCCATTTTAAATGTTGTGCGGATACTTTTGCAAATTATAAGCAAAAAAGGGACATTTTAAACAAAGCTTACAACTGGAAAACTTTAGAAAATTAGTAAAAATAAGAATCAGATCGATTATATTAATTAAAATATCCACACAGTGGTTATATTCAGTAGTTATCAAGAGCTATAGGAGAAAGAACTGTCCTACCCTTACTTTGCATCAACTGCACAATGAATCCAGCCGCCAAACAATGCACCCATAACAACAGTTAACAAGATCAGATATCAAAAATAAGAAATCTATCAAAACAACTGGTTCATTTCAGTAAATTGAATAAAACCAATTTATAAACAAGGCACGTATCAGAATATGCATTCTAAAGAGGTTTAGAAAAAAACTTAGAGAACTGAGACCCAAGCAGACAAACATTTGGAAAAACGCGATCCATTAACGCTCATTAGAAAAACGCAAGAAACGCGTTTTTTTCGTTTAATTTTCACTTTCAGAGCGTGAAAACGGCGAAAAACTCCAATTTTTAGCGTTAAAACACGCTTTTGTTGTAGAATTTAAAAACAATCCTAACTGTCATAAGAAAATTCATTCAAGATGACTTTTCTTGCCCATAAAAGTTGTATTTTTTAGTGTCCTTGTGACAAGAAACGAGCCCAGGTCAAAAAATCCTACCATAGGTTCCTACAAGATCTTACAAGATCCTACGTAGGATCCTACCAAATCCACGTAGGATCTTGTAGGAAAGACGTAAGACTTCTTTGTCTTGGGTTTATCCTACACTTTCCTATCGTAGGATCCTATCACATCCTTCATAAGATCTTATCGGATCATATGTAAGAGTAAGAACAATAAGAGATCTGTTTATCCGAATGACTATTCAAATCTTATCAAGTCTTTTATGCACTTACACAGCGTTAGTAAAATTTGTATTTTCTTGGTTTGACTCGATGTTACCAGTAGTAATTTTCTTTTTGGTATGTTTTTGTGTTTTCTTTAGCTATGGATGTTTTTCCTAAAGCCTTAGTACTGCTCTGCCGTTAAGTTTGGGACTGTCAGGAACGAATGAAAACATAGGTTATCGACTATGCTGAATCTCGTGCCAATGTTAGTTTTCAGAACAAAATGCAACACAACCGAGTGAAAACCGATACTACTATCCGTTCCAAAATACAAGATCATCAGTTACTTTTTCAATAACTTTAGGTAGAAGATAGATAGAGACCTGCGGTTTTCAGTTTTGGAAACTAGACACCTGACCGCGTACTTTCGTGAGCAAAAACGAATTCGAAAAAAGTTCCGAAACCGGTTGCTCAGAAGATCTTTGGAAAGCCAGTTCAGTTCTCTGAAAGATGGTATAGAAACCTATGAATTTGTTTTCACAGATTAGTAATACCCCACTTTCCTCACATTCGGAAGTAAATTGGATGGATTTTGACTGAATTATGAATTTTTAATTTTTGATGAAAATAATCGAAAATGAGATATTAGTCTTTGACGCTGCCAGCGTTTCATTTTGTATCTCTCATTTTGTGATGGTGCTCGTTTCTTTCTTCTTCGTTTTGGTAGTTTTCATATACATTCTGGACTTTGACTACTATCTTGCCAGTATATACCCAGGTGAGTGCAAATGGGATATTAATGAGCCATTAATGGCCAATTAATGATCTGATAGAAAGATGATAATTAATGATCAATTAATGCTAGAAAAATGACCTAGATATGATCTCATTTATTGGTCATGTTGTGGTCATTATTAAAAATGATATAAAAATTGGCCATTAATGATCAAGTCAGAAAAACTGCGTAAAAATGATCATTCAGTAATGCCCATTTCAAGATCATTTTTATGACATTATAGCTTAGCATCATTTATGTGCAAGTACTTATCCGATTTCTATGCGATCTTTTTACCATTTTTGAATTATTATGAAATGATGATAAAATGACTGACGAATGATCATAAGTGGACCGTTAATGGTCTTCCCAAAATCAGAAAATTTCGCTTTACTTCGTTCTTTTATAAAATTAGTTTTCATGCCTATGGTTTTGCAATCACGAATAAAAGTTTTGAAATTCTGAAAAGTTTCCACGTTGCCTAAGGTTTTGAAATTACGAGTAGTTCCCGTAGATCCCACAGTTTTATAGTTACAAATAGTTCCTATAGTTCCTATGGTTTTCGAATTACCAGTAGTTCATGTAGTTCCTATCGTTTTCCAATTACCAATAGTTCCTACAGTCCCTATAATCTTGAAATTCCGAATAGTTCCTTTTTGGTTTTGCAATTATGAATAGTTCCTGTAATTCCTATACTTTTGAAATTATTGTTATATCCCATAGTTCCCATAGTATTGAAATTCCGCATAGTTTTGAAATTACAAATAGTTCCGGTAGTTTGTATTCTTGCTGTGCCTCGAAGTTACGAATAGTTCTTATAGTTCCCATAGTTTTATAGTTACGAATAGTTCCTGTAGTTCTTATGGTTTTGCAATTACGAATAGTTCCTAGACTTTTAGAATTTTTGCTAAAAACAAATATTGCCACAATGCTCAGCACGATCGATTACCTATAGTCCATCCGTTTTCAAGGCCACCAATAGTCACCTGGCGCCAATCCTGGCACTCGCAGAAAATTAGGCACAACATCCGAGGCGGAGAAGAAAAACGTATCGCTTGACTGTCACTTTGAAGGGGATACCTTCTTCTATCACAGCGTGGAAGGAAACCAATACAAACCTATTGAAAATGTTTTGCACACGGCATGGTTTTTTAAGGATCTCCTAGAAAATCTGTTTCACAAAACACTTCCAGAAAAGTTTATGTTTGTGAAAATATGTCAGCAACTCTCTTCTTCCGCATGCGAAGGCCGAAGCTTTTTAGCTACTGTCTATCAAATGATTTTCAAAAAGATCCGAGTCTATTCTTTTTTGTTTTATTAAATTTATCATTTAACCATGGAAAATATAGGAATTATACGAACTATTCGTAATCGTTAAACTATAGTAAAATCACGAATAGTTCCTGCAGTTCCTATCGTTTTGCAATTACCAATAGTTCCTGTAGTTCCTATGGTCTTGAAATTAGGCATAGTTCGTATAGTTCCTGTAGTTTCTCTGCTTTTTAAGTTACGAATAGTTGCTTTAAACTTTAGTTATTTAAGTGAGTTCAACCGTATAAAAATACATTATAGCTGTCACTAGAAATAAAGAAAATAGAGGAAAAGAAAAAGAGGAAAAAAACGAAATACAGAAAGAAAGAGAAAGAAGAAGAAAATATCGATATAACAAAAATAAAAACAAAAAATTGGTAAAATCTAAGCGTTTCTTCTAAATAAGATGTTACAACAGTGTAAGTGTGTGCTGTAGTGTGTATACGCGTGTCGGAGGGAAATATGTCGAACAAGGAGGGATTTGGACCAAGTTTAAGCTCAGTTAGCATTTTTTGTCTGGCAACATGATAATGATCACAATCATGATTGAATCAGCATGATCGACTACGTATAGTCCATCTGTTTTCTAGGCTACCAATAGTCACGTGGCACTGGTCCTGGGACTCGCAGGAAATCTGGCACAACATCGGAGCCGCGGAAGGTCAATGTGTCGTGGATGTTTTTGAGTGTTCATTGAAAATGTATGCTTAAACAGCGAAACTATAAAAGCTGTTTTCGATGTTCATTAGGCCTTGCTATACTCACCTCGACGAGGTCTATCGACTGGCTAACTCAGATTTTAATTTGGGGAGTTCGTGGGTGTTCGTGTCTCTTAGTGATACCCTTTTTGTTCTGTTTACTTATTTAAGTAGTTGCTTCTTTGTTGTTTTCTTTGTTAAAATATAGCTTATAACAAATTGATGCTCCGTGGAGTGAGACAGGTCGAAACTCCATGAAATGATCCAACGGTACTCTTCCGTCTGTCAATTGTCCTGTTTCTTGTCATTCACAACCTCTCGAGCTCGATAACAGAACCGCAGTCAAACGGTACAAAACAGAAATAGCCGCGTCACCTTTCTTCTCATAAACAAGAAACGAGTGGAATACTTTGTCATCTCTCTGAGGACACATCGAAAATAAGAACTTGTAAAAAAAGATCATTTAGGCCTTTTTTAATTGTTGTTGCTCTTTTATTTTTGTTATTGTTCCTTTCTTTAATTGTTTTTTTCTCTCGCTTTTTCTTCGGATAAGTGTTCTCTTCGAAATGACTTTTCTCGTTTTATTATCGGTGAACAGTATCTGCTGTAAAGTAAACATATTTTACTTGCAACCGTTTCCCCGATGTTAAATGAAATTTTTTACTGAATAATCAAAAAATACCTTTTACGAGCTGAAAGAGAGGAGTGATGTGAAAAGTGTTAAGAAAGAAGAACGAATATATGGTTCCTGGCTAAAAGCAATAAACCTCCTCTTATCGTTTCACCCAGTCGACTTAAATATATAATTCAGTCAAAAAGAATGGGAAAAAAATGGAGAAAATACATAGTGTTTTATGTAAAATAAGAAAAAGCCACACAGTTTTCTCATAAAGTTCCTTCTCAATGCAAATCAATAGTTCTGTCTCCTAGTTCTTCCAAATTATTAGACGTTTCTGGTGTATTTTTAGAGTAAACTCTATTTCACTTAATTTTGTCATTTCCATTACAATTTGTTTATAATGATGTTTTAAACCTTGAATTTTTGCATATTGGTTACTTTCGATTGAGAGACAAACAAGTTGTTTGTAATTCGAGTTTGTTAAAATTGCACTAATGACTTCTGGAAGCAATGTTAGTGATGGATCACGTAATTTAAGATCGAAATATTTTAATTGCGAAAATAAATTTGATAAACGGGCCAAAAGACGCAAAGTTGTTACACTATCTGAATCTGTTCGTACAACGTGTAAATGTTTAATTTTACGATTTAGTAGCGGCCATAACGGATGTAGTGTATGATCATTTTCAAATTTGAAAATACTGTCCGTTGACATCCAGAATTCATTTAAATGTGGTGCTTTTATTAGTAACCAATAAAGAAAATCAAAATTATTAATGTTGTAACGTATTTTCAGGTCACATAATTTTGAGAATTTTGAAATTTGTTGTTGAATACTAGATTGTAAATCAATATCTAAAAAGATATAGAGAATAAACAACTTTGTCTGTTTCAGCTGACGAGGGAACTGTCCCAACTGATCCGGCGCTATCAGCCCCATATTTTGGCCATAGGTAGACCTTGCCGAGAATAAGAAAACTCTAAAACCGTTCGTGCCCACGGCTCTTTGTTCAAAAGCTAAAGACGTCTTTCTGACTTTTCCCACTGAAACACGGGAAAATTAAAAATTTCGTAACTTTTTTGAAACAAGGAGTTAAGAGCTCAAACTTTTTCTGTATGTCCCTGATATTCACAAATCGTTTCAGCCTTTGGTCAGGTTTGGTTCTCGAGTTATCCAATTTTTGAGTTTTCCACAGATTCATCCTTTAGCACTAACTACAAAATGACTATAAAATCGTCAAAACTTTATCAAAACGTTTGCAAATTTTCGGAGCTAATATAATCTCATGTTTAGTTTCTACAAATGGAAGAAAAATTTGGTTCCAAGCGGGTTTTGAGTTCCAACATTTCCAGAGACCCTCCCGAAAGCTGAAGTTTTACGGATGTCAAAATTGTACATTTGTGCTAAATCCATCATATGTGCCAATCGAAATTATATTAGCTGCGAAAATTTCAAACGTTTTGATATACAGTTTATATAAAAAATTATTTTTGCCAGGAAAAACAAAACATAGAACGTTAATTTTTGACGCTTGACAAAGCAGAAAAAACTTTTAGAAAGTACAGAATATCATTCTCCTTCGAGTATCTTTGTCTCTATATCAATAGTGTCATCGATATAT